TATTCGAGTCATCTTGGGAGCTGTCGATTTACGCACGCAACTCGGGCTGTAGTAGAGCTACAGAGCTTGTACAGAAGAGAGGACAATCCAGAAGCATCGGGGGCGTTCGGCTGCTGCATCGAGAGGTCTGAAATCGCTTGGGCCGAAAAACTATTCTATCTCTACAATGTTGTTTCGATATTATATATGGTCAGGAAGCTCTACGAGTCCCCCGGCGGTAAGAAAGGTTGACGGCTTACCGCCGGCGCGCAGTTTTGTCTGCCCGAACTAGGTCCGCGAAACTATTCGTATTGTTCGAGTCATCCTGAGAGGTGCTGTCGGTTTTCTGCACTTAACTCGGGCTGTAGGGGGGCTGCAGGGCTGGTAATCACAGGAATCGATTCGCAGAGATCAAACGCGTCCGCCTGTCGCATTCAGAGGTCTGAACCCGGTCTGATACTCGAGCTAGGTTTGCCGAACTATTCCTATTGTTCGAGTCATCTTGAGAGGTGCTGTCGATTTACGCACGTAACTCGGGCTGTAGGAGAGCTACAGAGCTCGTATAGAAGAGAATCCAATATCAGGGGCGTTCGGCTGTTGCATCGAAAGGTCTGAAATGGCTTGGGGGGAAAACTATTCGTTCTCTACCATTTTTTCGACATTATATATTGTCAGGAAGCTCTACGAGTCCCCCGGCGGTAAGAAAGGTTGACGGTGTACCGCCGGCGTCCAGTGGGCGCTACCAAGTGGTCGGTTGAAAATTTTGTTCTTGAGAAGTAACTCGTAGAGCTTCCCTTGGCAAGTTGTTGCTGGAAACTTAAGAGTAATTCCGGGGCGCTGGAGAGCTAGTTGGCAAGAAAAATCTCGACGGACCTTTTGCTGAGTTTTGGTCGGTTGAAAATTTTGTTCTCAAAATTTGAACATTCGTTAGAGCTCTAGTTTTTTTTCCCCGTGATATTCGATCTTATTCCCGCTCGCCGTCTTGTTCTCAGATCGATCGGGTAGATATTACTGCCAAAAAGCAATGCGGCGGGATCGGCTGTTTCGGGTCATCTTGTCACGCGTTGGCGGTTTTCTGAACATAACTCGAGCTATAGAAGAGCCACAGAGCTGGTGAGCACACCTTATCGATGCAGAATGATCAGGCGCGTTCGCCTGTTCCATCCAGAGGTCTGAACTCGGTCTGCTAGCCGAGCTAGGTGCGCGAACCTATTCGTATTATTCGAGTCATCTTGACAGACGCTCTCGGTTTTTTTTGTACTTAACCCGAGCTATACGACAGCTACAGAGCTGATACTTACAGAAACTGATTCATAACCATCAGTCTCGGTGTTTGTTGAATCCAGAGCTCTGAACTCGGTCTGCTGCCCGATCTAGAATTGCGAAACTATTTGTATTGTTCGAGTCATCTTGAGAGGTGCTGTCTGTTTTCTGTACTTAACTCAGGCTGTAGGGAGACTCTAGGGCTGGTAATCTCAGGGTTCGATTCGGAGACATCAGGCGCGTCCTTCTGTCGAATCCAGAGCTCGGAACTCGGTCTGCTGCCCGAGCTAGGTCCGCGAAACTATTCGTATTGTTCGAGTCATCTTGAGAGTGGCTGTCGGTTTTCTGCACTTAACTCGGGCTGTAGGGTGGCTGCAGGGCTGGCAATCACAGGAATCGATTCGGGGACATCAGACGCGTCCCACCATTGCATTCAGAGGTCTGAACTCGGTCTGATACTCGAGCTAGGTTTGCCGAACTATTCGTATTGTTCAGTCATCTTGAAAGGTGCTGTCGAATTACGCACGTAACTCGAGCTGTAGGAGAGCTACAGAGCTCGTGTAGAAGACAATCCAACATCAGGGGCGTTCGGCTGTTGCATCGAAAGGTCTGAAATCGCTTGGGCTGAACAACTATTCGTTCTCTACAATTTTTCCGATATTATATATTGTCAGGAAGCTCTACGAGTCCCCCGGCGGTAAGAAAGGTTGACGGCTTACCGCCGGCGCCCAGTGGGCGCTACCAAGTGGTCGGTTGAAAATTTTGTTCTTGAAATTCCTGAATCCGTTTGAGCTCTAGTATTTTTCTCGTGATATTCGATCTTATTCCCGCTCGCCATCTTGATATCAGCTCGATCGGGCACCTTTTACGGCCAGAAAGCGTCCAGGCGGGATCGACCGTTTCGAGTCATCTTGATACGCGCTCTCGGTATTTTGATTTAACTCGAGATAGAGTACAGCTACAGAGCTGATACGCACACCTCATCGATTCAGAATGATCAGGCGCGTTCGTCTGTTGTATCGAGAGGCCTGAACTTGGTCTGCTAGCCGAGCTAGGTCCGCAAACCTATTCGTATTATTGGAGTCATCTTGACAGGCGCTCTCGGTTTTCTGTCTTCAACTCGAGCTATATGACAGCTACAGGGCTGATGATTACAGAAACCGATTCAGAATCATTTGTTGGAGTCATCTTGAGAGTTGCTGTCGATTTGCGCACATAACTCGGGCTGTAGGAGAGCTTCAGAGTCCGTACAGAAGACAATCCAGAAGCATCGGGGGGCGTTCGGCTGTTGCATCGAGAGGTCTGTCGCTTGGGCTGAAAAACTATACGTTCTGCAATTTTTTGTCAACATTATATAATGTCAGGAAGCTCTACGAGTCCCCCGGCGGTAGGAAAGGTTGACGGTTTACCGCCGGCGCCCAGTGGGCGCTACCAAGTGGTCGGTTGAAAATTTTGTTCTTGAAATTCCTGAATCCGTTTGAGCTCTAGTATTTTTCTCGTGATATTCGATCTTATTCCCGCTCGCCATCTTGATATCAGCTCGATCGGGCACCTTTTACGGCCAGAAAGCGTCCAGGCGGGATCGACCGTTTCGAGTCATCTTGATACGCGCTCTCGGTATTTTGATTTAACTCGAGATAGAGTACAGCTACAGAGCTGATACGCACACCTCATCGATTCAGAATGATCAGGCGCGTTCGTCCGTTGTATCGAGAGGCCTGAACTTGGTCTGCTAGCCGAGCTAGGTCCGCAAACCTATTCGTATTATTGGAGTCATCTTGACAGGCGCTCTCGGTTTTCTGTCTTCAACTCGAGCTATATGACAGCTACAGGGCTGATTATTACAGAAACCGATTCAGAATCATTTGTTGGAGTCATCTTGAGAGTTGCTGTCGATTTGCGCACATAACTCGGGCTGTAGGAGAGCTTCAGAGTCCGTACAGAAGACAATCCAGAAGCATCGGGGGGCGTTCGGCTGTTGCATCGAGAGGTCTGTCGCTTGGGCTGAAAAACTATACGTTCTGCAATTTTTTGTCAACATTATATAATGTCAGGAAGCTCTACGAGTCCCCCGGCGGTAGGAAAGGTTGACGGTTTACCGCCGGCGCCCAGTTGGCCGATCCGGCCAGAAAGGACAAAGCGATGATTTTTGGGTGGTTTTGCGAAAAATTGAAAGATATTTGACAATTGATTTTGAGAAAGCAGATTTCGCACCTGTAGTGGGTTATGGCCCGTCCGCCAGTAAAATTTTCAGGCCCATAGGTGCAGTATTACTATTGAAACACTTGGAGGAACCGGCGTTGGTAAAAACAGAAAAACAGAAAAAAGTGCTCTAGACGCTTCCTTCATGCTTAACGAGAGGCGCCGTGTGAGAAAAGAGCTCTACGAGGGCCCCGGCGGTAACCTGGTTGACGGTTTACCGCCGGTTCCCATTGGCCGACCCGATAAAAAGAGACAATGTGACAACTTTGGGTGGTTTTGCTAAATATCAAAGATATTCGACAATTCAGTTTGAGAAAGCATAATTTTACGCCGAGCATTGGCATATAAACTCTCTTCCCTGAGCAGCTCAGCTCTCTAGAGCCAGTTTTACTATCGGAAAATTAGGAGCAACCAACATGAAATTGATACGGAAAAATGTGAATTCGGTTTTTTTCCTAGAAATACCCCGAGAAGCTCTCTGCTTCGATCCTGAGCACTCTTACGCGTGCAAGGAGCTCTACGAGGTGCCCAGCGGTCTCCAGGTTGACGGTTCACCGCCGGCGCCAGTTGGTCTCCGGGTTTTGGACGCTACCAAGTACCTCGTAAAGTTTTTCGTTATCGATGAGCTAGAGAAATTCCGGCGCAGGATGCAGCTAGTACCTCGTAGAGCTCTTCGGCAAAGAGCTAAGAGGAATTCGGGCGCAGGAGCTAGTTGGCCGGCCCGACGAAAAGAGAGAATGTGATAACCTGGGGTCGGTGTTTTTTACTTTATGCAACATTTTGAAATTCGTTTTTAGAAGCGAGATTTTGATTTCCTCTAGTAAGCTATGGCGCACCTGCTGGTTAATTTTCCATGGTTCTGGGTCCAGTATTATTATCAAAACACTTGGAGGAACCCACTGTATGAAAACCGAAAAATCGTCATTTTTCAAATTTTTCGGCTCTCGCTTCACGTGTTCGAAGGAGCGCTGTGTAAGAAGAGAGCTCTACGAGGTGCCGGCGGTAAATTGGTTGACGGTTTACCGCCGGTTCCCAGTTGGTCGAACCAACCAGAAAGGACAAAGTGGTGACTTTGGGTCGGTGTTGCTCAGATTTGAAAGATAGTTGACAATTCGTTTTTTGAGAAAGCAGATTTTTACGCCGAGCATTGGCATATGAACCTTGTTTTCTGAGCAGCTCAGCTCTCTAGAGCCAGTTTTAGTATTAGTGGACTTCCCGGAACCGACTTCATCCTCACTCCGAAAATCTCAATTTGACGTTTTTCTAGAAACGCTCGAAGAAGCTCTCCGCTTCGACCCTGAGCTTTCTCACGCGTGCAAGGAGCTCTACGAGGTTCCCGGAGGTGACCAGATTGACGGTTCAGGCGCCAGTGCCTCGTAGAGCTCTTCGGCATCAATGAGCTGGAAAAATTCCGGTGCGGGGTGCAGCTAGCACCTCGTAGAGCTCTTCGGCATCGATCAGCAAGAGGAATTCCGGCGCGGGGTGGAGCTAGTTGTTGTACACTGGGCGGGGGCATGGCGCATCGAGGAGCGAGCGTAGTCGGGAGGGGGGCGCAG